GACGTAAATTTCGTACCCCCGACTCGTTTTTCCACGCTGATTCCTCCTGTGGCCAAATCGGAGCCAAAATCCTGGCCAAACGGCCGGAATACACGGCCGAAGCCCAGCGGCGCCGCCGCGCCCCTTCTCGGTTTTTGCCTCCGATGAGGCCCTTCCCGGCCTCCGTTTGATGCAATTTTTATATCACCGTGATCACCATTCTTTTCTCTACAGGTTGACCGGAGCCGAATCACCAAAACACGAACCTCGCCGGAGAGCCGCCGCACCCGAGAGCGCCGCCGCCGGTAAGCTCCGTATTTCTGTGATTTTTTGGCCCCCCGAGGGCCCTAGGGTTGTTTTCTCACAGGGACCGATGCGAGTGTGGCCGAATTCGGCCGAAAACGGCCGAAAACAGCCAACCCGAGGCGACTCGCCGCCGCCAGCGGCGGCGCCGTCGCCGGAGCACGGCGGAGCCGCCGTGCCGGAGTTGCGATTTGGGTCGAAAGAGGCCCTGGGCCTAATTTGGTTTTTTTTGGAACACGTGCAGGTACCAGTAGTGCGTTTCAGTTCCCTGAGGAAAATTCAGGAAAAATTAGGGACAGTCTGCAAGCGCACTGTGAAGCCGTGTTCGGACCCCGAAACGAGTAAAGACCCCTCACCCTATTTCCTATCACGGTTTTAAAGTCCAATAAATGATAAAACGGTATTTCGTGAATCAACGAATGTGTGAAATTGCTTAAGGTCGCTAATGGAGCCCGAGTCTAGTGTGTTTGTCGGTTAACTGTTATTTGGCCTGTTTTACAGTTTTAAATGCAGCATGAGGTTCAATGTTTTCATTTTATAGTTTCGTGTGCATATTTTACTGTTTTATTGATTATGGATTGAATGACCGGGATATTGATGTTGTATGTTGTCTGTTTGGCATAAATTATCGTTTTGCGTGTTTGTATGTGATTGATAATGCTGACTGAGGGAAAAAGGAGAATGAAAGGTTATGTGAATGGAAATTGTATGATGTGTTCAGCCTGACTAGATATCCTGGGAGATGGTGGACGGACCGGGTCCGTAGGGAACCCTACTGGGATTGTGGTCTCCCATACCGGACGGGGTATGGAGATCTTATGTGTTTTGGCGCCCATACCAGACGGGGTATGGGGACGGCCCTTTTCACCCTCATACCGGACGGGGTAGTGAGGTCTATGGTTTGGCGCCCATACCGGACGGGGTATGGGGACGGCCCTGGAATATGATTCCAAGTGTTAAGGATTAACGGGTAGCGGGACCCCTATGGATCCCCATGAATACTAGTGGGCTGGTGAATTAGGAAAATATGTTGTGTAACGATTGAATTACGAAAAGTGTGATAGGTATTATGTTATACAGTTCATATATATGTTTTCATGATGATGATGATGTTATTGCTTTCGTATATCGTTTTATGAATTTCACCGAGGTAAGTAAATGGTAAAGGTTTTATTTTCGATAAAAGGATTTGTTGTAAATTATGCTCCATTGGTCTTTTTGTGTTTTCTACCCACCTTTACCTCCGTGACGGTGAGATATTGTGATGTCTTTACTGGGCTAGTGTAGCTCATTCCTTATTTAATCATTTCAGATCAAGAGGACATTGTTCCCGAGCCGATTCCGCAGGAGGACGACGAAGGGGACGCCTAAGGACTCTATAGTCACATTCGTAGTTTTTACTTTCAAGTTTCCCCTTTAGGTAGTTTAATCTTTTATATTTTGTGAGCACGTTTTTGGTTTTAGTGTAAGGGATGTTAATCAAATTTTGTCTTCGCTTCCGCATTTAATATTTATAATATAATTTCCATTTTGAATTACCGGGGCTGTTACATTTTTAATTATTATTATTATTATTAATTTTAATTATTTTATTTTATTTTATTTTTATTTAATTAAATTAAAATAAACCTAATAAAATAAAATAAATATAAAATTGGGTAAAAATATTAATTGGATTTAATTGAAATTGATTTTGGGAAAAAGAGGTGAAAATTAAATTCTGGGGGTATTTTTGAAAAGAAAATCGAAAACCGTGGGTCAAAACGTAATTTAGAAAAATTGTGCCCCGTCAGCGCCACGTCAACGGCCCAGTCAGCAGCCCTGGCCAACCAGGACCTGCCGCGTGCAAGACCACGTCGACCAGGACGGGCCATGTGGGCGATCCGCGTGCGCGCGATCGGACGGCCCAGATGCGTCCCCGCGCGCACGGACGGCCCAGTTAAGCGTGCGCACGGACGGCCCAGATGCAAGCGCACGGACGGCCCAGATGCACGCGCACGGACGGCCCAGATGCACGCGCACGGACGGCCCAGATTTAATCAAAATGGACGGCTGTGATCAAAAGGCAAAAGGGTATAAATAGAACCCCCACACCTGACCACAAAAACCCTAGCCGCCTGCCCTCGCAGGAGAAGACGAACCAGACGCCGGAGGAGCCGGCCGCCGCCACCCGCCGCCGCACCGGGGAGTTTTTCGAACGCCGATCGAGGTAAATTTCATACCCCCGGCTCATTTTTCCACGCTAAGTTCCCCTATGGCCAAATCGGAGCCAAAATCTCGGCCAAACGGCCGGAAAACACAGCCGAAACCCAGCGGCGCCGCCGCGCCCCTCCTCGATTTTTGCCTCCGATGAGGCCCTTCCCGGCCTCCGTTTGATATAATTTTTATATTACCGTGATCACCATTCTTTTCTCTACAGGTTGATCGGAGCCGAATCACCAAAACACGAACCTCGCCGGAGAACCGCCGCACCCGAGAGCACCGCCGCCGGTAAGCTTCAGTTTTTCGTAATTTTTTGGCCCTCCGAGGGCCCTAGGGTTGTTTTATCGCAGGGACCTATGCAAGTGTGGCCGAATTCGGCCGAAAACGGCCAACCCGAGGCGAATCGCCGCCGTACCGGAATTGCGATATTGGCCGAAAGGGGCCTAGGTCTAATTTGGAATTTTTTGGGACACGTGCAGGTACCAGTAGTGCGTTTCAGTTCCCCGAAAAAAATTCAAAAAAATTAGGGACAGCCTGTAGGCGCACTGTGGAGCCGTGTTCGAACCCCGAAACGAGTAAGGACCCCTCTCACGGTATTAAAGTTCAATAAATGATAAAATGGTATCTCATGAATCAACAGATGTGTGAAATTGTTTTAAGTCGCTAATGGAGCCCGAGTCTGGTGTGTTTGTCTGTTAGCTGTTGTTTGGCCTATTTTACGGTTTTAAATGCAGAATGAGGTCTTATGTTTTCATTTCATAGTTTCGTGTGCACATATTACTGTTTTATTGATGATGGTTGAATGACTGAGAATCCGATGTTGTATGTTGTCTTGTTTGGCATAAATTACTAGTTTGCTTGTTTGTTTGCGAATTGATGATGCTGATTGAGGAAAAGGGGAATGAAAGGTTATGTGAATTGATAATTGTATAATGTGGTCAGTCTGACTAGATATCCTGGGAGATGGTGGACGGACCGGGTCCGTAGGGAACCCTACCGGGATCGTGGTCTCTCATACTGGACGGGGTATAGAGATCTTATGTGTTTTGGCGCCCATACCGGACGAGGTATGGGGACGGCCCTGGAATCTGATTACAAGTGTTAAGGGTTCACGGGTAGTGGGACCCCTATGGATCCTCATGGATACTAGTAGGCTGGTAAATAAGGAAAAATATGTTGTGTAATGATTGAGATGCAAAAGGCATGATAAGTATTATGTTATACAGTTTCTATGATTTCGTGATGATGATGATGTTATTGCTTTCGTATATTGTTTTATGAATTTCACCGAGGTAAGTGGATAGTAAAGGTTTTTATGTTAATAAACGAGTTTGTTGTAAACTATGCTCCATTGGTCCTTTTGTGTTTTCTACCCACCTTTACCTCCGTGACGGTGAGATAGTGTGATATCTTTACTGGGCTGGTGTAGCTCATTCCTTATTTAATCATTTCATATTAGGAAGACATTGTTCCCGAGCCCGTTTCGCAGGAAGACGGCGAAGGGGACGCCTGAAGACTCCGTAGTCATATTTATAGCTTTTATTTTCGAGTTTCTCTTTTAGTTAGTTTGTTCTTTTATACTTTGAGCACGTTTTTTATTTTAGTGTAAGGGATGTTAAATCAAAATTTTTATTACGTTTCCGCATTTGACCTTTTTAATACGCATATTTTATTTTAAATTTTCGGGGCCGTTACAAAAATATTACGATATATCACTTTTAACCTATATTACATTCACTTTTGTACATTTTAAAGTATACACTTACTTTAAAATATCAACTATAAAATAATTAAATTACCATATTACTATATATAATTGCAAACAACTTCTTCTTGATCTTTTGGATTTGCTAGAAGGTATGAAAAAGTATTAAAATTATTATGTATGAAATATGTTGTATGCATTATACATTATATTAAAGATTATAACATATATTTTCTTTTATTAAAGTCATTTATTTTTCATGTTTGACATAATTTAATTTAAATTTATACAAATAGAAAATTCAAATAAAATATCATTTTATATTTTCATAAAAAGGCTTTAATTAATATAATACTAAATTAAATCAAAAAAACATCTAATTGTGAATTTCTAAATATTCATATAATAAATAATTTAAAATAAATATGAAACAAAAATTATTTGAATATAAAAAATAATAAAAGACAATAAACATGGATATGAGGAAAATCAATAATAAATTAATTTTTAACCATTTACAATAATATGTTTAAAAAATTATTGTAATTAGATAAATTTATAAATATTTAATTAGTTACGGTAATTATCTATATATAATATTCTCGAAGGCTGGCTACAAAATTAACTCATCAATTTTATATTCATATATATATATAATTATTTCTATTGGACACACTATTTTTATTTTTTAAATTAATATTTTTATCACTGTTTTTATCCAATAATAAATAATTTTTAAATAAAAAAAAAAAAACTAATAGCTATCTTGACATTAATTTTAACCGTATTTAGATTTGATTTAGCCAAAGAAAACCAGAGGGTCTTGATTAGGGTTGTCAAACAGCCGACAATCGGTAGCAGGGGAGATACAGGATACTGCAACAGTGCACGCGAAGAAGAGAAGATAAAATAGCAAGTAGTCGAACTTCTACAACTCGGAGTATTAGTCTAGTTTAATATAGTAGTTTAATTTTGATTATGATTTTTCGTGGTTTAGTTTTCTACGATGCACTGACGGGAAGAGAATCAATGGAGAGAAAAGCCTAATTGGGTGCTTTTATACTGCAATTTATCTAACCTGTAACTCATAATCCCTTCAATTTCCATAATGGACGAACCTACCTTAGTTGATGAAAATTTCCCTCTCTTCTCTAAACCCCGCAGAAATCCCAAACCCCAACAACAAACTCAACCTCGAAACGGTGATGCCAACCCTAGCGATAAAACTCCTCACCTTGAAAAATTCGTAAGTTCAAACCCTAATTATGTTGCTACAACCTCTATTACCACATTCGCGGACCTTGGCCTTGCCGAGTGGGCAGTGCAAACATGCAAGGAATTAGGCATGCGCAAGCCTACTCCAGTGCAGACACATTGTATCCCAAAAATCCTTACAGGTCGTGATGTGCTCGGGCTCGCCCAGACAGGTAGTGGAAAAACAGCAGCATTTGCATTGCCAATCTTGCATCGGCTTGGTGAGGATCCCTATGGGGTATTTGCCTTGGTGGTCACGCCTACAAGGGAGTTGGCTTATCAGTTGGCCGATCAATTTAGGGCTTTGGGTTCGTGCTTGCATTTGCGGTGTGCAGTTGTGGTGGGAGGGATGGATATGTTGAACCAAACGCAAAGCTTGATGAGAAGGCCTCATGTCGTGATAACAACACCGGGGAGGATCAAGGTCTTGCTTGAGGAGAATCCTGATATTCCTCCTATCTTTTCTAGAACCAAGGTAAGTAGTTCTTATTTTTGCCCAAGTTTCTTCATGTATGTTTTTTTTCTATTTCTTTTGGTGCGTTTTCTTTTTGTTATTTAATATGAAGATAACTGATTAGTGTCTTCTAATTGATTAAAGTGACAAGCTTCTCAACAAACAAATGAAAGGTGATTAAAGTTATGAGAATTTTACTATTGAGAATGTTGAACATACAAGCCAAAGTGCCAATCAGCACACTAGGATTGTGGACATGTTCAGTAGAAAGATAATTCAACGAAGAAAGTAGTGTAAAATGACAAAACTTCCTCTCTGACTAGGAATTGCATATTCGTGAATTTTATTTGCCTATGACCATTATATTTCATATTAAGTGGCATTAACTTGAGTAATTAAGTAAAATTGTGGTATTTGTAAAAATATCAATGGTATCAATCATGTGCATTAAAATAAAAGAACTGTCATATTTGCAATTATCTTTCTTACATAAGTAGGAAAAGACAAAAAGTGGAAATACACATGGAAATTTGTATTATGAAATTGCTTAATTTTTAACCCAATAAGATGATACTTCATGAAAATAGTAACAAAGATAGTTTAAAAGAAAAAGAGGGAAGCTTTGGAGAAACTGCAAAATATGTAAAAATAGAGGTTGATATGAAATCGCATAAAATTTTATAAATGAGAAAGATGACAATAACTTGTGGGTAGTAAATGAGGATTGAGAGTATCAATGAGTTTGGGTAAGGACAAGAGATATGCTATAGTTGCAAAAGCAAGAGGAGTTAGGCAATGAGATGCTGCAAGACACTTTTTTCTTAAAAATATATTAACTTTCTGAAGACTTGTAAAGTAACTTTATCACCCATCAGGAGACAAATTCCTATATTGTGGGAATGAGATAACTGTGGAAAGACATTTCTAGGAATATGGTATAACAAACATGAGTATATCTTCTCCTATTTTTTAAATCCCAGAAAAATGTGCTGATAAAGTTATCATTATGTAGAGGAATTACTTCATTTGGCAGATTGACTTTACTCAATAACAAAGATTTATATATGAACTTACATATTTTGTGAAATAACATTATGCACAACATTTTTGGTTATTTCATTGGGATAATTTTTATTTCATAAATGTAGGTTTATGTAAATATTTTTCTCAATGGTTAAGGAAGCTACTATGAAAGTGAGAGAGCCTGTTTTAGGAAGAGAATGTTGTTTTTGAAGTATCCAAAGCATGAGTGGTGCCCCCTTGCCCTGCTTATTATATCATCTTGGAAAATTTGAATTCTTGAATTACATAAAGCTGCTCCTTCATAGTTCCATATTTGAAAAAAATCACAATTCGTACTATTTGCTCTTTTTTTTTTTTTGGGTTAAATAATTAGCTTGTTCTATGTGGTATTTCACATGCTTATCTGGCCCTATAGTTTAACATAAATGATTGATAAAAATTTCATTCATTAACATGTAGGTGCGCTTTTCTAAGTGAGCTATGTACCTTGTGCTATGTATGAGAAGTTAAGGTTACTTTTTGTTGCATGACACATCCTTATATTCTCATTTACATTGTTTCAGTTTATAGATTTAGATGCTTATTTGCATTGTTTCAGTTTTTAGTTTTGGACGAAGCAGACAGAGTATTGGATGTTGGCTTTGAGGAAGAACTCAGAGTAATATTCCAATGCTTGCCAAAACCTCGTCAAACTCTCTTATTTTCCGCAACAATGACAAGTAATTTACAAACTCTTCTGGAGCTGTCTGTGAATAAAGCATACTTCTATGAAGCATATGAAGGCTTCAGAACAGTTGACACTCTTAAGCAGCAATATGTTTTTATTCCAAAAAATGTGAAGGATGTTTATCTTCTACACATCTTGTCTAGAATGGAAGAAATGGGTATTCGTTCTGCTATGATATTTGTCTCCACTTGCAGGTATCCCATTCTTTTGAGCAATTCAGTGTTAACCTTTTAAAGACTTTTTCTGATTGGATGTCTTTTTTCTTTCATTGATATTTTCTTATTTCTGTTCAACTGGCAAAAACATGTAAGTAAAGGAATTCTATTGGACAACAAGTGGAAAATTTCTGTTGGAATATTAATCTATTAACATCCTCCATCCTGTGTGCACCTATGGTAATATCCTTTTTTGTAATAAAAACTTAGTTATTCGTAGTGAAAATTAACTGTTTTACAGGTTACTCTTTGATTCTATTTTTTTGGGGAGAATTAACACCAATTACTGCTCATTCTCCCCATAATACTCCGCACTTTGTATGTTTTAGCAGCTGGCTTTTTGAGAAAATTATTGAAAATTGAGTATTATTTTACTCAAGAGATCGTAAGGTTCTCTCTTAACAAGCCCTATATTTCATCTAAGATAGGTGAAGCTAGAGAACTCCAAACCATTCAATAAATTATGCAGATTGTTATGTTCACCGCTCCATTAGTAGGTACTCTAACAAACTCATGAATTGTACCAACTATTTGTTTTGTATAAATGAAAATATGTTCAGATTCTTACGTACTCGTCTGAATATAATTATTTGTCTGTTGATTGAATCCTAGCTTGTCTCTGGTTCTTCTTTCTGTTCCCCCAAGATATTGGTACTTCTACTCTAACAAGGTTTTTGTTAATGCAAACTGTACTTCTTGATTGGACTTTTAAGCATGTGTGTCAATTTCTTTTCTAAACAATTTTTTTTTTGGTTGTGAAACAAATAGATACTGCATCAGTTGTATAGTTTATTTTCCAGATTTCCATCCATCATTGATCATACTTTATTGTTAATTTTTGTGCTGGAGCAGAACATGTCACCATTTGAATCTACTACTAGAAGAGCTAGATCTGGAATCTGCAGCATTGCATTCTTTCAAATCCCAGTCTCTGAGGCTTTCTGCTCTTCATCGATTTAAATCTGGGCAAGCTTCTATACTGATTGCTACTGATGTTGCAAGTCGTGGTTTGGACATTCCAACAGTTGATCTTGTTATCAACTATGATATTCCAAGGTTATCTCTTTATGATATTTCATTTGTCATTGGCTTTTCCAGAAAACATGTGCAGTGGAATTTACTTGTCAGCCCATTTCAGGTATCCAAGAGATTATGTCCATCGTGTGGGGCGTACTGCAAGAGCAGGTAGAGGAGGGCTGGCTGTGAGCTTTGTAACGCAGGTATATGCTTATGCTAAGATAGAATGTTCCTACAGCTATTTTAAAAGGAGAAAATTTTTACCATTGTGTGGTCGCAAAATTGTTATCTTGAATGATGTTGTGCTATAAATGAGGAAATGGATATATTGAAAATGTCTAACATGATGAAGAGGCAATTGATTTGGTCAAAGTGGTTTCATTTAAAGAGCAGGTCTGTAGGAGGTTCATGCATGGGAAGAAGGATAAAGTTGGTCTTAAGGAACATAAGAAGATCTTATCAGATTTTATTTTGTTACTGTATTCTGCATTTTTTATTTATGTTGGTAGAAGCAGGGGAGTCTATTATTTATTTCCAATTTATTAATGTTGCCAGTTGCTTTCTATTGTACAAATGCATTTGAACAGAAATGAAAACTTAAGCAAAAAGTTTATTCAAAGTTTGAGTTTCTTTTTGAACTCTGACAGGGGGTGGGTTTTATCGGGTAAATATATAGGTTCTCAGCTAGGAAAATATGCAAACCATTATTAGATCCTAGGCAGGCTACAAGTTGGTGCCAAAGAAGGTGTTTATGAGTATGTTCATGTATTTTAGTAGGAATCAGGGTCCTTTCTGAGGGTGTGGAAAGAGACACAGAAAAGCTTTAGAGATGTTCTAGTCTTTTGATAAAGTGTAGGATGTTTGGTTCAACAACTCCATTTTTTTCCCCTAAGGGTCATCTGCTCAATGTGGGAGAAGGTTTAGGATATGTAATTGACTTCTTGACAAACTTGTAAAAGTTTCCCTTTCATATGTGTGTGTGTGTTTATATATATATTGTAATTCTATGGAATTTCCTTGCTGCTCTTTAATGAAAGTTCAATCTTTTCCTTCTCCATGAAAAAAAAAATCACCATAGATAAGAAAGGAAGAAAAACACCTTAACTTAGATTATCCTGAGATGAAACATCTCTCTTCCCCATATGTTTTTATATCTGCTTTTTTTTGTGACTTTTGCAGAATGACATTGATCTCATTCATGAAATAGAGGCTGTTCTTGGAAAGCAACTGGAGCAATTTGAATGTAAAGAAAACGAGGTGCTTTCTGATATTACGCGGGTAAGTCAACTGGTAACATGTCTGTTTTGACTTCACTAGTTGGTATTTCCAATTAATTATTCTCCACTAGAAAAGTTTATCATGGATAGCAACTGCCTAGATCTGTCATGAATTGTTAGCTTTTCTTTTAACTATCATGGCCATTCTTACCATCTGCCGAAAAAAAAGGTTCCTTGCCAAGAGGTGATTTGCACCTAACATCATTTTTAAAGTTCTTGCACATGCATATAAACATGTTACAGAGCACTTCGGCCATATGTCTATTATTCACAAAATTTCCATGTTTTTCTTCATGATATTTAAATAGAAAGTTGATTTTTCTCATATATTTCTGATGACCCTATGATGAAAGTAGTACATTAATTCTACTAAATATTTATGTATTTTTTATATTTTATGGATTATGGTAGATAGTTTGTTTAGGAACTACCAAGTGTTCTGATATCGATATGTTTTTTTTGGGGGCAAAAGATATAGTTTTATTATTTCTTATTAAGTTTAATTTCCTAAAGTATTCTTGACATAATAGGATTCTTAGGAATTTGTAAATGCAAGGGTGATATTGTGTTGTTGGACAGATTGCTTATGAATAAAACTACATAAATATTTTCTCAAGTATGAGTGTATAAAGACAAACCTAATGTTAGTTGGGTTCTATAATTTCTGGAATGCTATGTTTTGTCTCCCTCTTTTTTTTCTTCCATTTCTACATTCTATTCTACCTAGCCATGTTAATTTGGTAGAGCCAAATGCTTATTTTTGATATCAAACTCCCAAACCACATGAATTGGCAAGACACATTTATAGGGATTAAAAGTAAATTTACTGGGTTATTTTTAGGCACTCAAAAATCAGAAAGCATCTATACATGTTTATTCTTGAGCAATCTGTCGGCAGTACAGTATCCTTCATGTATTTTCTCTAATGTTTTGAGTGGCTAAACGCAATTTTGTGATTATGGTTGTCTTTGCACATCATGAAATTGTGAGTTGGATTTTTTTTTCTACTTTTTCTATAGTTCCTAAATCCTATTCTGCCAAGTTACATCAATTGTGAATTGGAATTTGATTAGTTGAACACTTAAATGGGATTGATTGAGTAAATAGATGGAGATTATTACATGGATGATTCCAACTGAATGGTGGCATATGTCCGCTGTACACAACTCTATTTAATTCTAAATTTTTAAGAAATAAGAACTTTTGTCTTATAAGGATTCTGAACTTAAAACTTCAGGTATACAAAGCTAAACGTGTGGCAACAATGAAAATGATGGATGATGGGTTTGAAGAGAAGGCAAAGGAACGGAAGAAGCAAAAGCTGAAATCACTAGCGGAGAAGGGTTTATTGAAGAAGAACAGAAAGAGGAAAAAGAAATCTTCTGAATGATTTGTGACTGCATATCACCACTTCTCTGGAATTTACCCTTTTTGCCTTATGGGCCGTGACCATCTTCTTTAGCAGCATTTTTTCTTTCCGTCAGCTGATCTTGTTATCATGTGATGCCGAATCCCGTGTTTGCCCCCTGTTTTATTTTGCCTTCTTATCTCATGTTAGTGAGATGCTAATTTTGTAGCTACTATGTAAAATAGTTATTCTTTAGTGGGTTTGAAATATGGCATCTATGTGGTAGCTACATTGGAAAACATATTAAATTGTGGATAGGATATAGGAAACGTGATTTGTAAAAGGGTAATTTGAGCATTTAAGTTTATAAATATATATATATATATATATATATGAATTTTGCCTCCATAATATATGTATCATCTACATTTTTGCTTAGCAAGAATGCGAATCTCTTTATCTAGTTATTAAATTACTAGCATCTATTTGTACGGACTTACGATATCATGAATGTGATCACTAGATTATGTTTGAAAAAGAAATCTTTGTTCTTTCCGTATCCTAACTATTTGATACATTTGATCTTATATTTTTCTTTCCTTGAAATAACTTCCCAAGATTCATATGGCCAATTTAGATAACTTATGATTGGTTGATAAATAATAAAGTTTTATATACACTCACTTTTTATGCATAAAGTCAATGAAATGTCTTCTTTAGAAAGTAAATATTTGTTTTATGTATTTCTATCAGCCCAGCCCTCAATTAATATTAAAGAAGCCTTGATCGGCCCTCTTCCGGGCCTGGAGATCCATTAAGTTGGCCCAAGAAGGCCCGACCGTTGCTTGCAGGAGCTCTAAACGGTGACGTTTTGGCACGAGTTCCTTTTTAGGGCTCCTCGAACTCAACGACAAAACAAAGGGAGAGCGAGGCAGAGGGAAAAGGGGAGTTCCCGTTCAGAGAAGAAAAGGTAGTCAATGTCCATGATCGGTGTAGGAAAGGGAAAGTGCTCTAGGGTTCTGGCGATTTGACAAAACAAAACGAGAGGCAGGCTGAGTAGAGCGTTGGGGGGAAGGAGGGTTTGACTAAGGTGAGGGTAAAGAGGAGGTGTCTTTCTGGAGTTGAACCGAAGAAAAAGGGAGTCTCGGAAGAGAGGCGCCGAGGGAAGGGAAGACGGGAATTCCCTAAATAGGTTAGAGGAAGGTGGATCAAAGACCTTCACGTGCTGAAGATTGAGACTGCTGGGAACTAGTTTTGGAAAGGAAGAACTTGGGGCTTTATGAGGAAGAAAATTAGTTGTTAGGTTTTCTGTTCAGGATCAACTTGAGCGAGAGCATATTAAGTCATCAACGAAAAGGAGAGAGGAAGAGAAAAAGGGGTTCTCTTCTGTGATTTCTGTGAAGAGAGGTCGACGGAGAGAGGGGAGATTTTTGATCATTTCTGAGATTTTGATCAGGTAGATAGAGAGCATAAGGGTTCCTCTGGTTCTTATCTGTGTTGAGAATCATAGATACGGGGTAAAACTAATTCCTTTCCCTCTTCTTTTTAATATTTCCGTTTCTCACATGATTCATATTTGTCTAGGTTCAGAGAATGGAAGTAATTGATTCTTAAGATTGTGGTCTAGAAGAAATGGAATGGTTTTACTACATATAGAATATATATGTTGGGATTGGTAGAATTGAATGACCATTATGCTTTTTTTCAGTTTCGAATATAAAAGAACAGAGTTCTTAATCCGTAGGATATATATAAGCATATAAGAGTAT